ACTCGTGTAATAAAATGCTTTGGGCGGATTTTGTGGTGTTATCTTTTCTCCTTATTTTCTCTAACGACAACTCTTTTCATGCGCAGATAAAAACTGCAATATAGGCAAGAACGCCAAAAAAACCTCCTTTTGGAATGAAATACCATTTATATAAATTTACTCTGATACATAACGGTACACTATTGGGCACTGACTAAAAGTAAGATTAAGCTTCCTATGATCTACTTTTTTCTCAAAAATGACATTGATTGAAAATTTGTAGGGCGTGTCAGTGTCCCTTCAAGTTTTGCAGCGCTCTACGAACTTAAGGCTGAGGTCATGTTATAAGTTTGATTCCTCCTGATGAATGTTTTTTTGTAATCTCTCTTGTCTCGTAGCGTTACAAGGGAAGTTCGCCAACCAGCGCTCGTTTTTATCAAGCTACGCTGAGCTTGGCCTGGTCACGACACGTCGCAGCTTACCAGATTTTTTCCAATGAACCCATTCATCCCTAAACCAACAGTAACTGCCAGCGCGCATCCACGTGCCTTGTAATTCTTGCAGTCAGTTTTAACGGTCATAGATAACTTTGACATCTAGTTCGTGTAGGGCGAAGAGATTTTTGACATCTTTTAAGCCGCACCTAAATGAGCACACGCGATTCAGTCAAACAGACCAAACAATGACGTCGTAAATCAGGTTAACTCAAAACACTGAACTGGTACAGTGGAGCCTCTCCTTTGGGACACCTCTATTCAAAAGACACCTCCATTCAGGGGACACAAAATTTGGTCCCGGAAAAAGGCTTTGTAAGCTTTGTATCTGTCACCTCCATTGAGGGGACTCATCTATTCAGGGGAAAGCCGGACATCTTTTCTGGTTCCCGAAATCCGGGTTTAACCTTCATTCAGGGAACATCTTAGCACTTAAAAAGCGACTGACCACAAAAAGCGTTGATAAGTTTAAGTGTACACCAGTCACAATGATGACAGCTTTCACTACAGAACTGTTTCACTCAAATCGATGTACTTCACGTATGGCAATTCAGCAAATAACATCACAAAGATAAGTTAATCATGGTTTTTTATACACTAGGAACCGGTTACTATTTATCGCCTCGCCGGGGAGGATTTTTGTGGTGACAACGGAGCACTTACGTGATCCCCCCTTACTGTGTGGTTTTGATTCCCCCTCATTGAGAGTGGAATATTCTATGATCCTCCCTCTTCTATCCCAGTCGCCACAAAAAGCTAGTGTTGCTATATGCAAGCAAGTGACATCTATATTAATAATTACGTCTCATGAACGTTGAACGACAACCTCACATATTTGGTCATCTGATATGAACTGAATTGTCCGTGAAGGGTTACTCTTCTCATCCAAATTGTTAAAAACAAATTTATTGTCGCTATCGTCCTCCTCACTGCCGAATTCTTCCTCATTTCTTCATCCTCTACTTCCCCGTCACTTTCTTCTTTGGCACCACACCATGTCATCGAATAGCTTTTCACTTGTTAAGCTTTCAACCAATAGTGGTTAGTCCGTGTTCTTTCAGGTAGAAGTCAAGTTCTTTTACCTTTAACTTTTCGATCTTGCCACTCTCACTAAGGCTGTCGCATTTAAAGTCCTTGTATGTCCGTTCCGCCTCTTTCCTCTTTTGTTCCTCAGCTTGTAGAGAAGGCCATACTCCAAAACCCTTTCGGCAAGCGACGAGCTGAAATATTTTCAGGAAGCTCAAGAACGAGCTAAGACGCTCCACGAAAAACTTCCGAAAAGCCTCAAATAAGCTGGCAACAACACTAATAAACCCGAAAAGGAAGTTTCGATCTCAGATTGGGAAAGATCGACAATCGCGCAGAAAAAAATAGAACAAAAGAAAGGTGAAAAAAATAAAGGAGAAGCGTTTACAACAGAGGGCATACTTGCTTCTCGAAAAACTCACCACAAGAGAGGAAGCTGGAGAGGTAAACGGGAGGCGTCCAAGAGGCTACCAAAGAAGCCTGGGGGACGAAGCAGTGACACTAAACTAATCGCTTCTTGATATACCATATATATATATATAGCAACCATTTAAATTTTCGCATTTAGCTGCCAGCCTTCTAATTCCAACAGTTCAGTCGTCAAAATTGCCTGACGAGTGTGGTCCTTGCACCATACGAAACAGTTCTGTAGCAATAAAACGATGATTACTCGTGAAACCTGAACTTCTGTGAAGTTAGATATATAGATATATATATATATATATTTCTTACTTCTGTTGGTGTTGTTGTTTGCAATGACTATGCCACCATTATCGAACGTTCTCATTACGGGGATACCATTCAATGACGCTAAAGAATTTAAAACATGGAACTTTGTGGACATTTACACCATAGAACGTGAACATTTTTTAGCATCACGTTTAATTCATAAGCACAACCACTGACTATTTCATTATATTAGTTCGTGTCTGAACAAGATCACCAGAAAGGTAATAAATTGATCCTACCACTTCAAATAATTTTCTCCTTTTTTCCTGGTCCCCCCTTAGTGCCTGTCAATTAGGGCTGATCCCCGCCTCTGTTCTCTTGAAAACCGTGTGATCCCCCCAAAAAAAATCCATCGTCCCCCACCCCTTCCCTCAGGCGACAAATAATGACCGGTTCCTTAGTTCGCAGCAGGGGCATAAATTGACTCATAATGGAAACTCAAGGGTGGGAAAATTGACAACCTGAAAATGCCAAATTTCCCGTGGGTTGCCCGCCACCCCCTTCCCCCCTCCCCCTTTCCCATCCTGGGGCAAACCACTGATAAGTGCATAAAGTAATTCAGCCACGCGAAAGCTATAAAACCGAGAAAAAAAGAGAAAACGATAAGGGAGGGGGCGACTAACTGCCTTCTCCCTTCTTCTCCCCTCCCCCATCTTTTCTGTTTCGACCTCAGTTCAGCTTTCGTGCGCTGTAACTCTAACTTTGCGAACCACAAAAGAAAAAACACACCACAAACCCGCTTGCTACGCAGGCTACTCGACTCCTTGCTCGACTCCTTTCTTAGCAATCTTCACAAGTTAAAACACGGGCTGACTTGCGCGAGCTCGCGCTTTTAACGGGAGGATTACCCGTCCCAGTCCCTGACCGTTGTTCTTAGGCGCGAACTGCTCCAAACAAGATGGCGGCTGTTTCCAGTTTGAGTGTGTGCCTTTCAGAGATCAAAAGAGACCTTCTTTACGCCGTGAAAGAGTGTTCAGAGAGAGGTTTGCTGCACAGTGCTAAGTGGTAAGCGTAGGAAAAGGGGAAAGTTGATATTTTTCTTGTTTTGGTCTGGATGAAGTAGAGATCTTGATGTGATATAGAATTCGAAGTTCTTTTGACGTCTGACGTGCAACTACAAACATGTACTGTCAACAGGACGACTTAAACTAAGGCTTATTTACATATCAAATTATGAATCAGAGTTGGGTAATATTTCCGCACAGCCCCATACATTTATTATGTATGAAGTAATCTCATACTATTTCAAACAGTTTATATGAATACAGTCGAAATTATGCAAAATGAATGTATGGGACTGTGCAGAAATCTCTACCTTGCGGTTATGCTGATTGGCCTTGAATGCTGTCAAACTCATGACATGTTGTTGTATATAGAAAGGCAGACAGACTGTTGAGTGTGTTGATGGATGAATTCCAGAACTAGCTACCCCACCCGCCCACGCCTACCCTCTTTGGTATGCGGTCAGGTTCGCATATCCTATTATATTACTTAAAAAGTAATCTGATCTCTTCTAGAGTTTTTGACTGTCCCTTGAGACCCTCAATATGTCTCGGTTCCAGACCTCGCACCAGCAACAGAATTTAAAATGACCACCAAAGAAAACAAATTCCAAGCATTTAAATAATTATTATAATCAGATCAGATGTAAGAGCCCCTTGTGACTGTACTAGCATACCAGAAGTTATCGCTGTTAACCCTCGCAACTAATAGTGGCCAAAGAAGAAAACCACAAGAAAATTCAATTTTCTTTTTGGAAAATCCTAGGAAATAAAAAGAACTATGCAAAAGTTCTGTCAAAGAAGTTTCATTTGAATGGTAACACCATAGGATTTCATCCACAGACTCAAAAGTTAGAACTACATACTAAATAAAATAATAGTACCATGTGAAAGTACCACTGAAGAGGTTTCATTTGAGTGGTAACACCATAGGATTTCATCCACAGACTCAAAAGTTAGAACTACATACTAAATAAAATAATAGCACCATGTGAAAGTACCACTGAAGAGGTTTCATTTGAGTGGTAACACCATAGGATTTCATCCACAGACTCAAAAGTTACAACAACATACTAAATAAATAGTACCATGTGGAAGTACTGGTGAAATGGTTTCATTTGAATGGTAACACCATAGAATTTTGTCCACACAAATTATACTACCATAATGTGGTCTTGGAGTGAAAAGGTTTCTAGGCGATGCCATTGGGCAGCTCCAAACAAGGCCAAAACAGCTGTTCAATGGCTGCTAATTGCCTTGGGAATATGATTACCAACACTACAAGTTAGGGCCCGATTACATGGAGGTGGGGGAGGTAACATATTTCAGTGGGGTAACCTGCCTGTCCATATAATCTCTCATATGGTCACCCCACCTATCATGTAAACGTGATCAAATTAAAAATAATGAGAGATTATAAAGACAGGTTTGTTACCCCACCTAAGTGGGTTACCTCACCTACTCGTACCTCCCAAGGGGGGTACTCCGGAATTCAAGTGAAAGGGATGATTGAATGGGGGCAAAGCGGTTTTAAGGAAACGTTTATTTGGTACGGAAACGCGTCAGCAAAATGTTGGCAAAGTTTGTTTCCGTGCTGGTAAAGTGTTGCTATGGCGTTTATAACTGTATCGGTTGTGTTTGTCTAGGTAACTGGTGAATTGGAAAGTATTAAAGTACCATGTGTGAATATCCTAAGGCTATTTCGTCACTTCGGCTTTTTTAAAGATCAATCAGTAGAAAAACGCGTAGTGTATTTATATTTTTTTTCGTAAGGTTCCAGTGTTTCAAAGCAGCTTGGGTGACAACAGTTCTTCACCAAGGTTTCAAGTTTCCCCAGAACTACAGCAACCTACGCTCCGCCTTTTATATCGGCGACAAAGAAGTTCAATGGACACTAGGAGCGATCCTCTATCGAACAAGGTTCCTGCCTCTAAGGTACGTTATTTATCGCAGGTTAATGGGGCTCATGAGAGCTCTAGGAATTAATTGCCTTGTTGCCGATAAACTGTAACGGTAAAAAAATGACACGCAAAGGGAAAAAAATTTGAACCCTTTAACAGAAGTCATTAGCAGTTTGGTTCTTCGGTTTAGCCGGCGGTTAAGCTCATTTTAAAATTACTCGTTTTAGCCGTTTATCTCAGCTTCTTTGTTGGTTTTTGGTCACTTTTTATTGCAGTTTCGAAGATTTATCGATTTTGGGGGCCGGTTTTGCACCTTTCTCCTCGAGCATCGTCCATGAACTCATTAAACTAAAGAGAGGAAGTTCGATACTCTGGCTTCATGGCCAGTAAATGCCGTGTTTTTATTTTTGTTTTGTTTTTGTCCTATAATGGCTGGAAGTTTATATTTGAATGTCGTGCGTTTATTTGCCTCTAACACTTAATTAGCTAAGTAAAACATCAAGAATAACATTGAACCGCAACAGCTGTCCCCCCTCCGTCTCCCCCAGTCTCTCACACCACGTGACATTGTTCTAATCCAATCGATCTTTACATGCGTGCAAAGATGGCGGATATGGTCAGTATGGCATTTGACCACATATATTTTTCATTTCTAGGGACGTCCAATTGCATTCACAGTACAAAAGTTCATATCACGCCCTTTGGAGTTACGTGAGTGAACTACAGTTCCGTATCATATTCTTGGTGTGCAGTGTCACAGTTTTGGCCGCCATCTTGCTGTACTGTAGGCGGCTACGGCGCATGAGCAGTACGTCAAGCTTGTGGCAGTACAACTCGTCTCCAGTCCTCTACAATGTTGATGTAATACCCAGCACAGATAAGATTCCTGTGAGATGACCAAACGAGAAAAAACTTCGAAGAGACTTTGAAAAATCTGATATGACAATAAAGATGTTTCTATGTAAGGAAAGGAGACGTCACTTTGTTGTATTTTGATGTGGCATCAGCCAGGATCAGCGTCAGATCGTATGGCTGCGCATGCGCACAACCCTCTCGTCCTTGGTCACGCCAATCTCGTTCCCAGAAGCTGCGATCCTTTCGAAGAATCCGAAAAAAAAGTACATATCTGATTGGCCGAAAAACGTATTCCTCATAATTTTTATGCAAATTACTTTGCTAATCATACAAACTGTGAGCACGTTGATTTGATTTTGACAAGTCATCTGGGTACACACCAATTTTATTCGACCGTTAAGGAAAAAGTTTATCTCAATATAATTTCAAAAAACCACACCACAACGACATTTTGTCAAAAGTTTCCTTTGTCTTGTTATTGAAAGTCGTTCAATGCCACTTTTTAATACATGCATGCTACTGAACCTTTCACATTTGCATACAGCTGTGCTCATTCTGAACACGAAAAAATACATGTCGTCATGACTTACGAATGTCTCAATCTCGGCATTTTAAGTAAATATACACCTATTTCAATAACGGTTGCTTTGGGATTTGGTCATTGAAACGCAGAAGACAAAGCAATGCTTTGCTTGAGTGACCACCAAACAATGGCTTTCAAAGACCAAAGCACGATTCCCAAAGCAACCTTTATTGGAATAAGTGTATATTTCTTCAGTCTCCTTTACAGTCCTTTCAATTGTGAAAGGACTGTCTTTTCAAGTTACTTGATACATCGATCAAAAGTCACGTAAAGGAAAACTGCAGTGGAGCGATTATGTTCCAATGTGCGTGCAAGGGAAAATTCCCTCGGAGAGGTCTCTTTGTCAAATGGCTAAGTAACTTCACGAGGGCGCAATTAAACCGGAACCAGGATTTTCCAGAGCGTCCGTTGCCCGTTGCGCTGGGTAAGGGTAACTCAGGCTCTGGGGACGAGATTGTGGTCTTGCGCAACAGAGAATAGCTTTGGGCTCGAGAATGATCAGCGTGGTTTAGCCAGCGTAGCAGGCGCGTGGAAGTAATAGAGAACGTTAGATTCTTAGACAAGGACGACAACGAGAACAAGATTTTCCCAATACCAAGTAGTGCGCGCGCGTGAACCAGCGTCATTTTGGAGGGAAAATGTGATAGCCGTCGTCTTGCTCTAAGTCTTAGTAGGCTGATAATATAGCAATAGGACGGGAACGTCATTTGACGACGGGAAAGCGTGCGGAAAGGACTAAACACGACTTCCGGTGCTCAATTTGCTGCTCTGCCATTGGTCAAAACAGTTGTCTGATTTGCGCGCGCCGTCGCCAACTCGCCTCCCGTTCTGTTGCTAAATCAGCCTAGTGTCGTAGCGGCGAAAACTAGTTATCAAATGTTAGAAATTATATTGTATCATTTAGCGATCGGGGAGAGGGCTTAACCTCCTTCAATAGGAATAAGTGTACTAGCTCTTTTGGTGAAAAAAAATCTGCAGTGAAGCTTTCCAAAGTGTCTATTTTTAGAGAATACGCGAGAGTTAAATGTCCTCCTCGGTAGTCGTCCTCGAAACTAAAGCCGCGAGTGTCTCTCTCGCGCGCCCCGTTCATGCTCGCACTCATACCTTTCTGGAAACGCCTGTTACGCAGGCTAAGCGTGGTTCCTTCGTCAGCTGTCCACAACCTCGTTCTATTTTTAGCTTGTATGTTTTGTTTTCCCATTGAAGACCATGTGAGTTTACCCAAGAGAACTATTTCTTTCAAATGCCGAAGCTGGTGATTTAATTTTGTCGGTGGTTTCCGGCATGATTTTATTCAGGCGCGAAGCGTGGCGCGTTTTCAACGAAAGAAGCTCGATATTTTGAGAAAAATGAAAAGGTAGTTACATTAAGAAATTGATTTATTAATTAATTTATGAAATCCACCAATTATAACGCCTGAATCGTTTGACCGCGGTCGAGACTTAACCACACAGACGAGCTCAGTCTCATCCCCAGAGCCCCTCGGCTTTATTTGTGACTAAACTGGCTTGGGGAGCTATCACGCACAAGGACGGTATGACGTAAAAAATTACTTTTTATCTTCCTGTCGTCGACGAGGCCCAAAACGATTAGTGATTGATTTCCTTTTCATTGTGTGAGTTAAAACTCGCAATTGAGTGTGCACGTGTTTTGAATGATTTATCTCCCATTACCCATTTCGCCACTGACTGTCAACAGCCAGTTCCAACCCCGGGAGGGGGAGGCTACTCGACAACGTTTTATACGGGGGGGGGGGGGGCTCCTCCCTGAGGTCCAACCCTTCATCCCTTTCAGTTATATAGACCATTTTTGAAAGAAAAGGTACCCCTTCCTTATACCAGTTATATTTGCTGTTTATGACAAATGGTACCCTTTTCACATACCTAGCCTTTTGAACATTGTCAGAATCTAGTACTTCCACGTGTAAGGTAGTACACCAAATAGCCTGCTACTTTTTGAGAAACGAAAACTTCTGAAGGTCTCCCAGGTGTTGTGGGAAACAACACCATGCATGACCATTCACTTTTAGCAAACAAGGGACATCTTGAGATACATTTGTAACCTTTAGGGAAAAGGGGAACCACTGAGTTTTGGGGAGAATAGGGGAACATTGATTTCATAAATTGCAGGAAAAGGAATCTTGACAAAATTGAACTTTAGGGAACATGAGAAATTAGTTTCCAGGACTCGAAGGAGAAACTTCAGTTATTCATATTCATATAAATCACTAAAGCAGTAGTTTTCTTGTCTGATCTCTTTCACATCCATAGAATGAGTCTGTTAGCCCTTTTTGGTCCTTTTAGGGACCAAACTGACAGACTTTCCCACCTACTTTCATAAACTTCAACTAACGAAATCCCTACCCTTTCATATATCTATATCTAAGGCCTGAAAAAGGTACCCCTTAATTTCGGGCGGAGCCCCCATTCCCGTATAGGCCAATTTAGAGAGCAGCCCCCGGGTCTCCAACATCAAAAGTGTTGGTAATTGGCAAAGGCAGGATTTACTCAAGATTTTCTTTCAAGCCTTTCTATGGACGACAACTGTTTTTGCCATGTTAATACTTAACCGCATTTAAGCGAGCCTAATAGTATTTTTGCTGTCAAGTGGACTGATCAACACGCCTACTAATCTTGCTGTGACGTCATTAAGGTCATTAACCCTACTTATCATGCTTTTGTGACGTCACTTGACCAGATTTGTAAAAAAAGGCAGGCCAAAAAGCTGGCAGTCACTCAGGTAGGGTGAAACAAACGGTTGATACGCAGGGCTCGAGCAAGTTTTTCAAAATGCACCGTTTAACTGTGATTCTGCTCCTTGGCATTCTGGGGTCTTTTGCTTTCTCTAAGAAACCTGATCCATTGGCTAGTAAGAAGAAGGTGAGTTGAGTTATAAACAAGGGAAGCATTCGATCACATTGCTTGCGTTCATGATTTAGAAAATCACAAGTTTTCTCTTCGAAGTACATGTTCAAGCAGGCAACAAAAATCCTGCTGGTCTACTTTGGATCGACGGTGATCTAATCGGGCAACCAATACTGTAGTTGTAGATGACTTTAGTATTCTTTTTCAGAACAATGAGAAAATACGTTGGCAGGGATTTTTTTTGTGGTGATCACAGTATTTGCAAAATACGTAAAACCAATTTGTAGTTATAATTTTATTACGGTATTACGCAAATGTACGTGATCAAAAATTGTAAATTGTAAATTGTGATTTGTTTACCCACGGATCACTAAGGAGTTCATAAGAACTCGTTGAGACGTGTCCGTGTGTTCCAGATCGAATTGGAATTTGAACTTCATGACCACCCCTTCCTTTGGCCTGATAGCCTTTAGCTCCCTCTCAATTCTTTTGTCTACGTGTCTTGTTCTCCAGTATGGCAGTTTTGTACCACGTGAATGACTAGCTGGACCGCCTTGCCCCTTTGCCATTTGAGTTGAGTGTCTCAACTTTAGAACATACTATAAAAAACAAAGTTTTAATGATCTGTATTTAATTCTAAGGTATCCAGCGCAACGCCGCAAAACATTTGTGGACAGGACACGGCAGGAAAATGCTCTTGTTGCAGCGGTAAGGTCGCTACGTGATGTCTTTTTTGGTGTCATTTCGGGCAAGAGAGAACGCATTTCTGATCCCACTTAGTTTTCAGTTTAAGAGATTAAGTTGATACGTAACGAATTCAGGAAGAATAGATTTTCACAGCCACCTTATGTTGGAAAATTCTGACCAATCCTAACAAACATTTTAGTGAAAAAATCCACTGCCAATTTTTCCCTGCACCTACTACTCTTTCCTGATAAAATTTCCTCCTTTCCTGGAAAGTTAGCCAGCCGAATTTTTATGCGAAAAGCCAAAAAGTGGGCAACAAAACTAGATTTAGAAAAGAAAGGAAAAGAAAAGAGAGAAAGCACGAGGAAAGGATCGAAATAGATTTGCGAAAAGAAAAAACCAAACAAGCCCCTCTGGCCTCATAAGAAATGCCTCGGGAATGTTCCGTGCAACCTAAAGATAATGGAAAACTGATCCCTTAAAATACCGTAATTAATCCTTTATTGAAAAGTACGCAATGGAGTCAAGGGTATAAGAGGTTTAGACTCGTGCATCGCATTACCATTAAGTTTTTTTTCTCTTTCGCTTTAGTTTTGTTTATGGACACTTGTCTGTTGTTTGTACATGTCTGAAGATCTTAGGATAAAAGAAGGGACAGTGCTAAACTCCTTTCATAGATTTTCCTTTTTCCCTAAAGTTATCATTGCATGGATAACAAAAAAGATAAACAGTGAAAAGCTTATCTAATGGAGCTTGAAAGATAAACCTCTCGCAATTTCCCGCTTAAAGAGCCAAAAGGACTGTCTGAAAACTGTCTGAGTGGAGAAGTAGGTCGGTTTACGGGATCACTAGACGTAAAAACGTGTAAAACACGTCCGCTCACCTCGAGCTCGCCGCCATCTTTTAAAAGATGGTCAGAAATGGGTGTTTTTCCTCCCACATGGCTCATTAGAGACACATAGATGATTTTGAAATATTCCGAATGAGACGAAACTTGGCAGGAACATAGTAAAAGAAAGTCCGCATGTATTGATGGTAGTTTTATACTTTTGATTGACAGCGTGACGTCATAAGTGACGTTGAAACATGGCGCTAAAATTTGGAATTAATTATTTGACTTAAATAACTTTATAAATAAAATCTATAAAAAAAACGGAGCTTTCTGGTGAAAACCCCACTTAAATCAGTTAAATTGTTGCAAAGTTAGAGCTAGTTAAAGAAATTCAAATTTCCCGCCAAATGTATGGAATTAACCATATATGGTCAAACTTTAGGGGTATTTAAACTCCAGCTTATTAAACGAAACAGTAAGGGAACTAAGCGAACCATGCATAAAAGCAAATTTGTAGTTTTTTAAATTTGGGACATGGGGTGTCAGGTTGCATGTTACGTCATTTCAAACCATGTTGACGTCATATATACGTGTTGATGACGTCACAAGTGAAAATACCTATAGAGTCCCAAATTCAAAAAACTACAAATTTTCTCTAGTGTGTTATCCACTATTTTTCTTTTAACTTCCATTTATTGTCTTGAACTGTAAACCTCCCTAAAGTTTTACCATATAAGGTAATAAAACAATTAAATTCTTTAAATTCCTTCTTTTATTGTCATTCACAAAAAAGCTTGTAACTTTGCCCCGTTTTAATGGATTTTAACGGGGTTTTCACTGGAAAGCATCACTCTGATCACAGAACACCTCTATTTGGTTTTCCTGACGATTTTCTTAATTCTAAATTTTGGCACCAAATTTGGAAATTATTTGTGACGTCACAATGTCCAGCAAGACTGTCAAACTGCCACCAAAAAATGTAGAATCTCTCAAGCAACAATTCTGCCAAGTTTCATGCCATTTGGAAAATTCTTTACGTCTCTGTGGCCTATGTGGGAGGAAAAACACATTTTTCTGACCATCGTGTTTTTTCTATTTCCCTTTCTCTCTCCTGTTACTCTCCTTTCTTGCTTTCTTTCTCTATTCTTTTTTTTTTTAGTCTTGTCCTCCTAAGGTGTCATGTAAGGATTTTTTTCATCTCTTTTCTTTCTCTTTTTTTTTTCTTTATTAGGTAGAGATGGTAGAGATGGCGTTAACGGTAAGAAAAACAAAGGAATTTTTTAATTTCAACAAAAGTTCTTCAGTGTCGGCATAAAGGTTATGAAATTAGTGTTAACTAGAAGCATGGAAAACAAAGACTATGCCTTTTTTTATTGTCCTTGTTGTTTATGAACTTTAATATCATAACTTTCAGGAAGAGATGGTCGAGATGGACGAGACGGGATTCAAGGAGCAAAGGTTTGAAAAAAGAAGAATTATGTTTTGAGACTTATTAGTAAGCCATAGGAGTTCGGCAGGACGAAGGTTACGTACTTTCAAGAATAACCCTTAATCCCTTACTATAGTATGAATTCTCTGCAAAGACCTCGGAGGGCTTACATTATTTTAATCTTTTTTTTTTTTTTTTCAAAAACGTTTGAGGAGGTGGTGGCGGCTAGGAAGAGGGTGGCTTCTTCCATTTGTTCTTTAACTGAGTGAAAACACCATTTTGGTAACAAAAGCAAGAGGAATTTATACAAAAAGTCACCCCCATACCTTTTTTGTGAAATGGTGATGACTCTGTTTCTGGTCCGGAGATATGGAGTGACATTATACAAATTGCACCCTACTTTGATCAATAATTTCATTTAATGCATTTTTCATCATATAAATGGAAAGGTAGACACGATAGAGCTAATGGCTGAAGAAAAAAGTATGTTTAAAAAAGTCGAATCCTTAGTAATCGCCCTTTATCTTTAGAATACCAACAAAAATGATTGTTTTTCGGCTTTGGTTTCTCTCTTAGATTGTAAGTAATAAATCTACAAAATAACCCACAATATCCAAGAACAACGAAGATTTTAAAAAATTATTGATATTATTCATAAAACTTTTGTTATCCAGGGAGAAAAGGGGAGTCAAGGGAACACTGGAAACGCCGGGAAAAACGGAGAAAAGGTTAGTGAGAATTGTTGTTTCGATGCCAGTCATAACTTAAAAGTTCTATCTAACAAGAAATTGACGTTTCATGTTATACTACTAAGTTTTTTGTGGTAAGTACCTTACCTAGTCCCTGTAAGGTGTTTTCCCAGGCCTTTTCGGTTAATTCACTTCAGTGACGTATCCGAGGCGAACTTGGGGGAAACTCACTTCTTCGCTCAGACCACGTGACCAAAACGAATTGGCTGTGCGGAGTAATGAGACCTAGGGACGAGGCAATTGTCCCCTTGATCCCAAGAATCTGTGACCCAGACCCCACCCAATCCCGTATAACTGAACTTCAGCCTCGTTCCAGGACTTTTCCATTACAGTGGCGAACAGGTCCAGCCCCAATCCCTTGTTTGAAAAGGGCTGCAAGAATTCCACTATTGTGGGAAGTTCAGCGTAATGATTCTTGCTAGTATACCCAAATTATACTGAATGTGCTGAACCATCGCCTAAAGGTTATAGTGCGAAACATTCATTTGCTTTAAGGTGTAGTTGTTATTTTTTTTCGTCAAAAGTTTGTTGTTAACAGGGTTTCTCTCCATTGTAGACTACCCACCTATTCACGATCTTGAATAGGTCAGCTAATGTGTTGATGCTAGCTTTTTTCAAAATGATAATCTTGAAATAAAGCAAAGAACGATAAAGCAAAAGCCGGAACTGAGGGAAACCTTACCATATTTTTTCCTGGAAATTAAATGTTTCAAAAGTGCTGATTATTCCTTATTTTAATATTTGCTTGTCAGGGACAGAAAGGAAAAAGCGGTTTACCAGGAAAATCCCCGAGAGGTGTAATCAAGTTCGAAGACACTGATAAGAAATGTACGCCGAGTATCGCTGGCACTGTTCGTTACAGTACTATCCAGAAAACCTTGCAACTCTGCGATGGAAATGCTTGGCTGGAAGTACTAGCAGCAGGGAAAGGTCACGTGGCACAAAAACCAGGCCGCCATTGTTTAGATATTTTAAATTCGGGTGAGCTTTAGATCGAAGTAAGGGCTCGTGTAAGCTGTCATGTTCTGATTACAATTTCAAAACTGAAAATGATCGCGTCAAACTAGAGGACATAGTTAGTAGAGAAGTTCACGCTCTATTAACTTTGAACAAGTAGATTCATCTCTTTGATTCCATTGTAGGGTTTGGCATCATCACACAAAGGACAGTGCAAAGTAACACGTCAACATTAAAAAAGAAACATACACCCGTAGACAAACGATCGTCACTCGTTTCCATCCGCCAAACTGACATTTTCCTCTCAGTGGCTCTAACAAGACATTTCACTTTTCTTACGTAAAATTTCTCTGTCTCTTGAAATTTCTGCTCATAAAAGTCTAAGTCTCTTTAATTTTTAAGGGAAGAAAAAATTCAGGATGACAAACAACGAGATTTTCCAATTTTAAGCTTTTCTTGTTCCCATTTATTTTAATCAGGTCAGAGCCGTGGTAGCGGGCTTTACTGGATCGATCCAAACGGTGGTTCAACAGATGACTCGTTCCAAGCTTTTTGCGACATGGACACTCAAAGTGGAGGCTGGACCCTAGTTGCAACAAAGGTATCCCCAAGCTTCCTTTTCATTAAATCTCCTTTCTCACCAGTGGCCGCCAAAACTAAGAACGCAGACGCCGCGAGTCATATCCATCCAAGTATGGGGGACTGGGAAGAGGTCATGTTCCGCTTTGCTGACGTTAACACCATCCGGGTTATTTACAACAGGAAGGCAGGCGCACCAAACAATGACAAGGAAGAATTCGACAAGTATTTGATGGGAAAAACTATGAATTTGAGAAAAAACGTGAATGGATTTTACAAGTACAGTCCAGCAGATCAAAACAGAAATCCCGCCGTGGGTTTTGCTACCATATCTGGCTGGCACTACTATTCAAATAATGGGATTTCAGAAGATCATGGGGGCACGGACAAGTGGCTTGACATGTGGAATAGTGCTGACGGCTCAAACAACTACATCTCCTCCGATGACAGCAGGGCGCGGGGCACCAAGTGTATCGCGGGCTACTGTTATCTGAACAAGCCAATCTGGGTCATGGTCCGCTAGGAAAGCAGCCTTCGAGCCGAATGCAAGAGAAGCGGTGCGCAAGAGGAAAACGTTTTTTTCTAAGGGCGATATAAAAGTAGAATGAATCACAAAGGGTAAAATTAACAGTATATATCTAGCCGATTTTTTGAAAACGAACCTAGCGAAATTTGCAGCCGATTGAGTGAAAAAGGGTCGGAAAGAAGGCTTTTTGCACCACGCAATAAGCTCGAAAATCACGCTAGCAAAGGAAAAGGAAAGGAAAAATAGAAAGATCGAGGAGAAAGAAACTGGCTTTTTGAAGAGAAAAAAAGCAATGGCTACACTCTTAGTTGACTACTTTGAAAAAAAATATGCTTGGCGGAAGAGGTCTATTTGCAATTTGGCGGTAACGTTATCAAAAAACTACACCGTAATTTTTAGGGAGTTATTACAACTCCAAAAATGGAGTAAACCTTTTAGGTACAGCATAACCCCTTTTGGGGGTTATTTTAACTCCTAATTTAACTCCGAATTTGGGGTCATTTTTACTCCTGAAAAAGAGTTCTTTTTACTCCCAGCCTGGAGTTAAAATAACTCCGAAATGAGGTTACTTTTACTCCTTACATAGGTTGTTTTTACTCTTTTCGGAGTTAATTTAACTCTGAAAGTAGAGCAAAAATTTTAGGTACAGGATAACTCCCTTTTTGGGGTTATTTCAACTCCTCAATATCTGGGGTCACTTTTACTCCTGAAAAAGAGTTCTTTAAACTCTTTTTTGGAGTTAAAATAACTCCACTGTAAGGAGTTAAATGAGCCCCACTAGAGGAGTTATTATAACTCCTTGAAAATTACTGCGTAGCTAGATCAGGAGCCTATGACTAGGAGCCTTTATTTCTCATACGTCCAAGTCACTGTCTCCTGGCTAGATATAATAATTGAGCTTTTTTAAAAACGCCTTACAGTTAAGGTTTTAAGTTAAAGTTATCTAAGATCAGTTGATTTGATGATAGAAAACTAGCGTTTTGTATCGACTCATGTAATAAAATGCTTTAGGCGATTTTGTGGTGTTATCTTTTCTCCTTATTTTGTCTAACGACAACTCTTTTCATGCGCAGATAAAACTGGAATATCATGATAAGGCAAGAACGCCAAAAATTCCATTCTTGCGCTTTTTACACATTTTGCTTAGACCAATTTTTTCATATGTATATTACCATGCGGAATATTTTTCTTATCCCTGATGATGCCGTTGATCGGCGAAAGCTCTGAATTAAATTTTAATTTTTAATTTTAGCAGTCAAAGGCCTCATTTGAACTATATTCTACTTTCTAACAATTGCAGTTTTGAATTTCCATAAAATATGAGTGCGAACTTGCTCCAATTTACCAACAAAGCTTCAAGCCATGTTGTTATTTTTTACTAGAATTGAAAGCCTAGATGATGTACCAAGTTTTTTTTCTTAAGTTGAGTGCCATCCTTTTTTATAGCGGAATCCATTATAAACCTCTAAAATTATGTAACAAATCGCGAAGATCTGGATAGGCACATTCCACAAAAGATAAACGAATTCGCCTCGTTGGCACTTTCCGGAAGGTACCCCTAGTTTATTAATTAATTAATGAAATCCCACCATTTATAACGCCTGAGTCCTTTGACCGCGGTGGAGGCACACACACAGATGAGTTCACTCTCATCCCCAGAGCCCCTCGGTTTTATTTGTGACTAAAAGATTTGAGGAGCTATCACGCACAAGGACGGCATGACGTCAAAAATTACTTTTTATCTTCCTGTCGTCGATGAGGCCCAAAACCGGATTCGTGATCGATTTCCTTTTCATTGTGTGAGTCAAAAACATAATTTGATTGTGTACGTGTTTTAAATGATTTATCTCCCATTTCGCCACTGACTGTCAACAGGGCTCCAACCCTGAGAAGGTGGGGGAGGCTACTCAACAACGTTTTATACGGGGAGGCTCCTCCCCAAGGTCCAACCCTTCATCCCTTTCAGTTATATAAAACCAACAACGACAACATAAGCTTTATTTGCATGACTATAATTATGTAGTTACAGTATTGCAAAAGCTTTAACATAAAGTTACAATTTATAACAATGATAATGCAATGCGATGATTACCACAATCGATCAAGTGTCATCAGCATGATTTGATAACAAATTAGTACGTAAATCATTACATAATGAGACAAATTTCGACAAAGGTGAATATACGGAAGAATCCTGTGAATTTATCAATTTAGTTATTAATTATAATTAACAAGAGCCATAATATGGCTCTTGAAGGGAGGGATTGATGAGAATAGAGTGAACAACAAACACACTGACACAATCACTAACTCTGCATATTTTGTGAAATAATTAGTGAGTTTACGCAACAGGACGGCTCTTGTAATTAATTATTAATTTGCTTAAAAACCAAAACCGAGAAGTCCAAAGGCTACTGCAAAGCTGATTCAGAACAACATGTATTGTTTTTCACTCGACATACCCGGCTGGTATGGCTGGCCATACCAGCCTTCTTGACAGAAAAGGAACCCCTTTCGGATACCCTCTATTGGCTATTTATGACAAATGTACCCTTTTCACATACCGTAGCCTTTTCAACATTGAATCCATTTTAAATGTCATAAATTCACTGACTTTTTAACACGAATAAATTACTAAAGCAAAAAGTTTTCTTGTCTCTTTCACATCCATAAATTGAGTCTGTTAGCCCTTTGAGAGACTTCCCTACCCCTTAATATACCTGAGGCCTGAAAAAGGTACTCCTTTTGGGCGGAGCCTCCCCGTATAGGCCATTTTAGAGAGCGAACATCAAAAGCGTTGCTCATTGTCAAAGGCTGGATTTACTCAAGATTTTCTTTCAAGCCTTTCTATGGACGACAACTGTTTTTCACATGTTGATACTTAACCCCATTTAAGCTAGCCTCCCACACAGGTTTTTTTAGGGGAGGTCGTTTTTCATTTGTGGGGAGGGATGAAAGACGAGCTCCCCTAAAGACGCCTGCATAGGAGGCTACATTTAAGAGAGCCTTATACTGAGTATTTTTACTGTCAAGTGGACTGATCAACACGCCTACTAATCGTGCTGTGATGCCATTAATGTCATTAACCCTACTTATCATGCTTTTGTGACGACACTTGACCAGATTTATATCAAAGGGCAGGCCAAAAAGCTGGGAGTCACTTAGGTAGGGTGAAACAAACGGTTTATACGTAGGGCTCGAGCAAGTTTTTCAAAATGCACCGTTTGCAGTTAACTGTAATTCTGCTCCTTGGCATTCTCGGGTCTTTTGCTTTTTCTAAGACACCTGATCCACTGGCTAATAAGAAGAAGGTGAGTTGAGTTACAAAAAAGGAAGCGTTCGATCACATTGCTTGCGTTCATGATTTAGAAAATCACAAGTTTTCTCTTCGAAGGACATGTTCAAGCAGGCAAGGAAAATCCTGCTGGTCTGCTTTGGATCGACGGTGATCTAATCGGGCCACCAATGATGTAGATGTAGACGACTTTAGTATTCGTTTTCAGAACAATGAGAAAATACTTTGACAAAGATTTTTTATGTGGTGATCACGGTATTTGCAAAATACGTAAAACCATTTTGTAGTTACAGTGGAACCTCGATATGACGAAGGGCCAAGGAACTGGCAAAATTTGTTCGCTGTAACGAGGTTTCGTTATATCGAGGTCTTTTTTCATACATTGTGCTATTACTGGGGTAAAGAAAATCGTTCGTTATACCGAGGAAGACATGGGTCGCACTTGGCAAATTTTTGGGAGAATTTGTTTACCTTGCGGTAGAAATCTGTCATCGGTGGACATTGCTAAGTGCGACCCAAGTTTTCAAGTTAGAAAAAACTTTGAAAGTCGGCAAAAACATCAAAGACGCCGTAGTGCTTGGGTGGGGCAGGCAGATGTTGGAAAACTCGAGCTAAACAATAGGAATCACAGAGGTAACTGTCACCGCTTGTCATGAACGTGATCCATTTGAAACACGATCAATTTAAAAAATAAACGGGGCCGAATTTTCAAACCTTCGCGAAGAGGCTTCTACTCGGCCATCCTTCGCCATTTCAAGTTTTTTTCGAAAACTCTCTACAGGCGAGGACTTCACACGCCTATAAACCTTCGCTATTTTAAGGTTTTTACGGGAACTAGTTCTCTATTAAAGGCGAACCAGTTCCCCTCTACACATGCAAGCACTTCACAGGCTTGTTATTCTCCGAGCCAAATGCACTATTCGCATCCAAGCACTTTGTCTTCTTTATCTGTGCCATCCTCCTGAAACTGGGAATGGAGGAAAAAGATCCTTCGAAAAAGGTTCGGACGAAGGAGAGAAAAATGTTTTCTGGTATCTGGCGTTCTTAAGTTCTCAATGTGTCAAAGAAAAAACTATTAACTCCCACTAATGCCACCCTCCTCGGTTGGACGAAAAGTTTTCTTTTCCGGTTTCGGTTTCGAATATTCGTGGTTTTTTAGCCGGCAAAGATGAAAAATTTTCCCAAGTGCGACCCATGCCATTTTTACATAGTCATTCAAATTTGTTCTGCGTGTTTCCGGTATTTCGCAAATGTACGTGACCACTACATGAACCGTTCGTTCATGACCACCCCTTCCTTAGCTTGATAGCCTGTCGGGAATCGCCCCCGTATTCATAGAAATCCACGACAATTCACTTGATGTAGCTTTATTCACAGTAACGAATCCCAAAGTCACAGTTTTTGCTACTCACTCACTCGCAGATATTTTAGTCACAACACTTGAAGTTGGTTTTTGATAGCGTGATATTCTCCCCTCGACTCCACACAATACACAGGAAACATAACCTATATTATTATTTACTGATTGACATTTAGTATTATTTCCACGATATCAATTAGGAAACCCAAATATCTTATCAGTTATCAAAGTTCACTTCGTCACTGTTCCTTGAACTATATCGGAGATCATGAGCTAATTATTTAGCAATCAACGTTGCCATCAACTTGACATATAACAAAGCAAGGATAAAAATATACTACG